ACCGTACTAATACCTCCCTCCTCCTTCAACCCCCCACCCTCCCCCCCACCCTTTCTACACCGCAACCCTCAGACATGGCTGGTCCTGACCTAAGGTGATCCTCCCCCCTCCCAACCTCCCTTGTTCCCCCTAAAAATTTATTAAAACACCCCTTTAAAAAAAACCTTAATTTGGCCAATTTCAATAATTTCCTATTAGCACCCGCAGCATGCCACCTGTCCCTGAAAGGTGGATCGTCAGTCTCTGCATGAGCACTTCAAGGGAAAGAGAGTTTATAACCTTTCTAAAAAAAACCTCTCTTACCATTGGGAAATATTTTGTTGTTGCATTTCTGTAAATTAAACCTTTTATTGCATGTCTTACACTCTGGAATAATAAAAAAAAGGTCTTGACCTTCTGTGTGTCACTGTTTCAGGCATTTTGAAAATGCTTTTGTGCTTCCCACAGTCTTCTTATCGTTAAAGCTAACTATTTTCTATTCTTTCAATCACTCTTCATAGTTTTAGTGTCGTTATTGCCTTTCTTTTAAGCTGTTTATTTATCTGAATCCTTTTTAAGTTTGGTGTGCAGGGCTGGATACAAACTAGAGATGGGATCTGACAAGCGTGAAATAAAGTAAAATGATATTAAACCATACTTTTGTTGGTGGAGCCTAAACTCATATTTGCTTTTTTTTCACAGCCATACTACACTATTGACTCTTATTCAGTTTGTTGACAATTATAACTCCAAACTCTTTTTCACAAATACTACATCCAAGCCATCTATTCCCATCCTATGATTGTACATTTGATCTTTGTTTCTTAAATGAAGGATTACACAATTGTCTGCATTGAATTTCTATCATTTTGCATATTTCTCACTTTGAATTCTATTTCTGCCTTCTAAGGCATTAACTCTGCTACCTATTATTTTGTCACCTGCATATTTGATATTTTAGAATAGAATAACAGAGTTGGAAGGGACCTTGGAGGTCTTCTAGTCCAACCCCCTGCTCAGGCAAGAAATCCTATACCAGGGGTGTCAAACTGCCGGCCCATGGGCCAGATGCATCATAGCAAAACCACGCTCACCCCATTGCCGGCAATGGCAAAAAAGTCACGATATGTCGCGACACGTCATGTGACATTGTGAGTTTGACACCCCTGCCCTATACCATTTCAGACAAATGGCTGTCCAATCTCTTCTTAAAAACTTCCAGTGTTGGAGCATTCATAGCTTCTGGAGGCAGGTTGTTCCATTGATTAATTGTTTTAATTGTCAGGAAATTTCTTCTTAGTTCTAGGTTGCTTCTCTCCCTGATTAATTGATTTTGCATTGTCTCTTTATCTTACTTACAAATAAAATGTTTGAGAGTACCAGGCCAGGACTGATCTGCTTGATACTCAAATGCAGACATGAAATATATACATAACAATGCATGCAGCATGTTTGACATCTCATTCTGGTAATTAATGGGCAAAACGGCAAGGAAAGTTGAGGCTTGTTCCCATGGTTAATCTTGTGAAAAGCTTATGTGCAGAATGTCACATATATTGGCTCTAGACTTGCAATAATGTAGATGCTGACTCATACTGGTGAATGCCACAACTGGACTACAGCTGGTAGCCAAAACTGCTAAAAAATTTCTTATGAATTTCATGCTCTGAAATGGTCATGTGAGAAGGGCCCTACTAATCTGGAATGTATACTTGCACTGAACCTGTATATGTCAAAGCTGCAGAATAGATGCATCTCTACTAGTGAAAACTTGAAATTGATATAATTACAGCAACAGTCAACAGATTCCATGATATTGCCCCCAAAGTGCATAATTTTACTGATGACAGTATTTCTACGAGATATGTAGTTCCCACCAGGGACATAATTTATGTAAACTACAATATATTGTGAATTCAAAAATCAAGCTGGGAACTGGGAAATGTAATTGTGTCACTCTTTCTGGACTATGGAATGCAAAAGATGGTAATGCTTCTGAACCTGGAGTGAAATGAACCAAGAAAGATCTGCCAATCTGTAATTTTTAACCTGGCTAAAAGAAGCCAGTTAGTAATGCTCCCAAATGATTAGCCAAGTTCCATTTATCATCATTATCCCTTGGTGGTATTATAAAATTAGCTTTTACAGATACATGTTGCCTTTTCTTTTATGATAATGGCATCTGCTTATTTCACAGGGACATTTATAAAGAACATTTAGGTTAAAGAGGCCACCACTCTCTCTTTTTTTTTTGCTGGTTTTAGAATATTGTGTTGTGTTCTTCATCCTTTTTCGAGAGAGCAAAAAGTTCAGTGGTAACTCCATCCTAAATGAAATATTGATACAGTCTTGGTTTGTATTTAATTTTCTACTTTAACTCTTTTTGACATGTGGTGCTGGGCTTTATTTGTTAAAAGATATTTACCGGTACATTTCTTTATCTCTACTACAAGATTACACTGTTTGTTCAGATTGCTGTCTTACATTTAACAATAGTAATGAGATTGGTTTTGGTTATATTTATCTTTGTAAATTGTTTGTGTGAGCAGCTGCAGAATTATTTATCCTCTTAAGCAAGTCTAATTTCTAATGACAACTGCTAATTTATAATGACCTTTGTATCCCATTCTTCCCTCAAGAAGCTTAGGGCCGTGTTCTTTCTTTCTTTCTTTCTTTCTTTCTTTCTTTCTTTCTTTCTTTCTTTCTTTCTTTCTTTCTTTCTTTCTTTCTTTCTTTCTTTCTTTCTTTCTTTCTTTCTTTCTTTCTTTCTTTCCTCTCTGCATCCTCCCAACAAATCTTGGAAGTAGATTAGGCTAAGACAACTGGACTGAAATCCCATATTGTGAGACACTATGGTTTGATTAACCATGGTTTACTGATTAAGAACTAATTGGTTTGGTGTGTACCATATATTTAGCCATAAAACCCTGGACTACAAAAATGACTGAATTTCACGATTCACTCCATCTACGTTCCATCTGTAAACTATAGTCCAATAATTTCAGGAAAATCTCCTATTTTCTACCCCAGTTTTATTCCTTTATCTCTCAGAACAACTGCCCACGTATTATTATTATTATTATTATTATTATTATTATTATTATTATTNTATACCGCCCTATCTCCCTTACGGGACTCAGGGCGGTGAACAGGCGATACTAAAAACCACGATAAATATACACAAGTTTCTGTTCTAAAATCAAATTAAATAACAGGCCTGTTCTAAAAACACCCCATACAAAACCCCCACTAAAACATAATCAAACTACGCCAGGCCGGCCGCACGGAATAGATGGGCCTTCAGGGCTTGGCGAAAAAGGCGCAGGTCCGCAACTGTATGTAGGTCGGGGGGTAGGTCATTCCAGAGGGCAGGAGCTGCCACAGAGAAGGCTCTCCCCCTGGGGGTTGCCAGCCGGCATTGTCTGGCCGACGGCACTCTAAGGAGGCCCTCTCTGTGGGAGCGGACTGGTCGAAGGGAGGTGTTTGGTAGGAGGCGGTCTTGCAAATGCAACCCAGAGAAAAATCAAGGTTAATGAGTTTATCCTTCAAATCAGAGTTAGTTCAAATCTGATTAGTACTTTAGTTCCAAATAACCTCTGAAATCTATAGTACCCACTCACCCAGCCACTATTTTTATTTTATTTCTTTAACCCTTGTGGAAAATGATTAAAACCCTGAAAATCATATCTTTTCTCCAAACTAAGTTTTCAGGCAAAGTCACAACTACTTTGTCTAGTCCTTGTGTTATGGAGTTTCTTAATGTTTTATAATGGATTGGAATCAAGAGCATTCCAGTTAGGTTGTAAATGTCATTAGCATGCAATGTGAGCTTTGGAATAGAATTCAGCTCCTTGGTACTGTGGATGGATTTCCTGCCTTACAGGAGAAAATACCCTGAAAACTTCCTCTATTCCAAGAATTGTTTAAAGCACAAAAGGGGAAAATATTGGACTGAGCAGCAGGCAATCACAGTTGTAGGTTTCCCTACTATGAAGAAATAGTAGGGAATTCTCTATTTCAGTCCAAGCAGTAAGATCTAGTTTTGCATGCATGCATTTTAATAAATATACACAAAGATTATGCAAAACGACACCACACTTTTAATCTTCATTTTATATTCAACAAATAGCAAGGCTTTGTTTAGATCAGGGGTGCCAGCCCACGGGCCGGATGCGTCATGCCAAAACTGCGTCCACCCCATTGCTGGCAAAAAAGTCACGATACGTTGCGACACGTCACGTGACGTTGCGAGTTTGATACCCTGCTTTAGATCTACTTCTCAAGAGATGACAAAACTGTGGCTGAGATATATTTGGTTTTATGGTCTATGTGTGTTTGTGTGTGTCTGCATGGGCTTTGTAATATACCAAAATCCCTGATACTAAGTGAATTAGAAATATAAATAAGTAAATAAGTAAAATGATTTCATGATGTCTGAAGCCAGCCAATCTTATGGAGAAGGCATTGCTGTAGGACTGGTATACTGGCTCTGAAACAGGCAAGACACAAATGAACTTTTAGACCAGAAAGAACACTTAGTGTGGTGGTGGGGAGATATACATATATATTCCATCACCATAACAACCATCCTCTTGAACTAGGCTGGACTTCTTCTTCATGCCTTGGCAAACCTTATCTGGGGCCATCTCTTCAAAGAGTAGAAGAGGAAAAACTAATAATCATTAATATAAAAGTTTAGAGCCAGCCAACACCATTAGATCACAGTGGTTTAATTAAAATGGTCTCACTTTCCAAATTTTATCACTACCTGCCACAAAATAAGTAGTTCATGAGGAAAGGGATGGTAAAGTTCTGGTCTGTTAATTCATTACATGCAGGGCTTCTTTGTAGAGGGGAAGTTTCACAATTACACCCCTTAGGAATGCTACTATCACTGTGTAAGGTACATTTAGCTTTGATAAGGTCTGTGAATGCATGTAAATGCATATTTGTGGGGAGGAAATAGGTTAGCATTTGAACACTTCTGGCACATATAAGAAAGAGGAATGGGTTATTCTTACCTGCATAGTGGTCGAACACTGTCGGTACATATTCTTCCGGAAATGCATCATTGGCATAACTCATCAGCAGGCAGGTCTTGCCAACAGCTCCGTCACCAATCACCACACACTTGAGCATCTTCTTCACGCTGCTATCCGAATAGCTGGGCTCTTCTTCTTTGCCACTCATGCTGGTTGTTCCTGCTTTTCTTTTTTCCTTCCAGCTTTTGCAAGCACACCCGAAAGAGCACAGATCCCAAAGGAGAATTTCAGTTGTTGATAGCAGGCTTCTTCTTGAATGAGTATTTTTTTGTTGCTATTGTTGTTGCTGCATGGCAGGCAATCATGAAATCATAACTTCAGTTTGTACACTTGATCTTTTCAAGCCACAGAGGAGAACCATGTGAGGGAATAAATAGACAATCGACACGCGTGTCGTTAGTTCAAGTCAGGAAATCTTCATCTTGCATACAGAGACGGTGGTATTTCACACGGCTTAAAAATAGCAGCAATCGGAGGAGCTGAATGTCTGTTCTTCTGCTCTGGTTTGGCCTGAAAAATCAGGGATTCGTGCTAAATCCATTCCATTTTTCCATTGCATTTCCAAAGAGAAAGTGGAAACTGGAACCAATTAATGGAGGGACTCTCTCTGTGTGTCTCTTGTTCTTTTTATTTCAGGCAATCCCTTTATTTTCTCCAGTTTGCTCTATGTCAGGAAATCATGGGTTTCCTGCTGAATTCCATATTAGGATCAGTGGGGCTCGTGAAGGGCTGCAAACAATAGAAGCTCTGTGTGTGTTTATACTTTACAGGAACTCTGCCAGGATGTGGAAGAAGAAAAACACTAGAGGTCTCACTGCAGACTGCAGTTCACAAGCTTCCTGCTCCAAATGATCCATCTGGACATTATCGTCACACTTCTCTCAAGAGCGCCCACACATAAAATCATTCTTGGTGGGATTGATATTATAATTGAGTTATCCCTGGATTGACCTCTGTGAGAGTGATTGGCAGCATCTGGGACAAATTAAGAATAGTTGCCATCATTTCTGTTTAAAAACACCTCTACCGAACTCTTATAATTTTCACTACTCGGACAGATTGCCCTTCCTCAAACTTCCCAGTGAATTTATCTGCTCCTCAGTTGGCCACAAAAATATATCTCTGCTTTTTCTTCTTCTCCTACCAAGAATGCTGAATGGCTGTAATTGTTGTTGTTGTTGTTAAATTACAGGCATGGCTATGAAGAAAATGCTCAGCTGTCCCCTTACTGAGTAGGCAAATATGTGGCACTTTATCAGCTATTGTTTATGTTCAACAATTCTGCAGTTAAGAACTAAACTTCAAGTAGTATAATATGAACTTAATACAGTATGTCATTAACAATGACATTTTAATTGTTTGTTGTTATCCATTCCAGGTTAAACTTCTTTTGGAATTATGTACCTGTTGCCCTATTCTAGCTGCACTGTGATTAGAAAGCAAGGATTGAGATTTCTTACTTGCATGGAAAAAGATTCAAAATTGAGGGAATAAATTAAGCTGTGTCTAAACCTTAACCTCCACACAGCGACCTTCTCCAATCTGGCACTGTCAGTATGTTGGGAACACAGCTCTCAAAATTGCAGGGCAGAGTATCTGTTGGCTATCCTAGATGGACATTTATTTTGTAAAGCTTTTAAGAAGTTATTCCAATAAAGGTAATCTTCAGCATATGACCAAAACTGAGATCAGAATTTCTATTGCTAAGCAAGGTGGTTAAGTGAGTTGCACCATGGTTGTTAAATGAATCACTGCAGTTTGTTAAGTGAATCTGGCTTCCCCAATTGACTTTGCTTGTCACAAGCCAGCTGTGAAGGTCACAAACGGCAATCACATGACCCATGGTAGCTGCAACTGTCACAGACACGTGCTACTTGCCAAGCACTTGAATTTGTTCATGTGACCTTGGGGATGCTGCGACAGTTACCTTAAGTATGAGGACCATCTGGAAGTAACTTTTTGCAGTGCAGTTGTAACTTCGTACAGCCACTAAACAAATGTTTGTAAGTCAAGGACTACCTGCATGGTGCTTTTTATCTTATCTAAAGGCATTTCCAGATGCAGTTTTACACCCTCCTTGTTTGTAGCCTTCTGACCAATTGGCGACTTTCCCATTGCATGAGATAGCAGTTTACTCCTCAAACTTCTGATATCATCACAGGAGGAGGAAGTATAATGGAAAACCTCCAGCAAAATGTTCAATTTATTGGTGGGACAGGGGAGTTCTTCAGTTTGTTTTTCATGCCACATCTGGTAGGGCTCTGGGTTTTGCTCTGGGATGCTTGCTTTTTAAATGTGAAAATTTTTGTTTTAAGTGTAGTATGAAGTAAAAGAACTTTTTTTTTATTAAGCAGCAAAAAAGTTAAAAAAAAAATGTTCACTTGGCCAATTCCCCAGTTTACCATTTGAGTCAAGAAACGGACTTATTTCAGCTGATGTCTGCACAGTAAATTGATTTACAGGACTAACACCCATCAGTTGACTTCTTCATACAAACACAATCAACAGGATCATATATTAACTTATATGTATGCATGTGTGTATAGTGGAATATTCAGACTTAATATGTTAGAGTTGGGTATTTAGAATAGTATTTCATTACACCAAATTATGGGGGGTTTTTTTCCAGGCATTTGCTTTAAAAAGGATTTTCCCATTTGAAATGTAAAGGCCTGGAGACTAAAAATATGAAGATTGGTTGCAGGATTTGGGTATGGCTAGTTTAGAGAAAAGAAGGATTAGGGGTAACATGATACTGGTAGTAATATTCCAATATTTGAGGGACTGTCACAAAGAAGAGAAGGTCAGCTTATTTTCCAAAACACCAAAAAGCAGGACAAGAAACAACAGATGGAAACTAATCAAGGAGAGAAGCAACCTGGAATTAAGGAGAAACTTCCTAACAGCGAGAACAATTGACCCATGGAACAATTATGGGTGCTCCATCATTGGAGGTTTTTAAGAAGAGACTGGACAGCCACTTGTCTGAAATGGTATAGGGTCTCCTGCTTGAGCAGGGGGCTGGACTAGATTAGAAGACCTCCAAGGCCCCCTCCAACTTTATTCTGAATTGAATTGAATTAAAAACAGAACTGTATATAAAAGTTAAATTTCTCTTTATCAATTCAATCCATGAACCAAAGTCAGTTTTGGTGTAAGTACTTTGATGTCTCCACTCTGGACTAGGCTATAAGAATTTGTTAATTCTTTAGCACTATTGTAAGTTGGGGTTCCTGGCAATGATACAATTGGATGGAGACATATGTCTGGCCTATATGCTTTGCACTGGCTTACATTGGCCTGTGTCTTTGCATTGTGTCCAAAGCATACAGGCCAGACATAGCTCTTACTCCAATTGTATCATTGCCAGGGACCCCCACCTACATCATTGCTAAAGAATTAACAGAAGGGCTTGGACACCTCATAGAGGGAAGCAAATGCTCTATCAACTCCCCATTTCAGTGCTTCCAAAGAATCAAAGACATGATGATGGATAAAAATGAAATCATGGTCTCATTTGATGTCACAGCATGTTTTACATCCATGAACCAGAATTGACTAGGGAATCCATGACAGCATGTAGATTAAACCAAGTACACCATGTAGATTAAACCAAGTACACCAAGATTGAAATACCCAGAATCCTGGATCTTATCAACCTTTGCCTAATCACATACTTTCAGTTCAATGGACAAATATATCAACAAATCAAAGGAACACCCATGGAATCACTGCTTTTGGGACTGTTAACAGAGATTGTGGTGCAGTGCCTGGAATCTATAGCACTCCCTTGTATACTACCCAAAGTATGGATCCAGTATATAGAGGACACCTTTGTCATAATAAAAAAGGACCAACTGGAGAACACATATGGGACCATAAATAACATCTTCAGGAATGTGGAATTCACTGGGGAATAAGAGAACAACAGCATGCTACCCTTCCTGAATGTCCTCATTACTAGAGCAGAGATGGCAATTGGAAACACAGGTCTATCATAGGACTACCTACCCCAACCAGGTACTCTACTATCAGGGCAGCAACCAGGCCTCTCATAAAAGAAGCTGGTGGGAGCATTATTTAGATGAATGCAGGCACACTGGCTACCCTGGGCATCAGAGGGGAGAGGAGACAGATTGTTTATAGAGCATCTTCCAGCAAGATGGATATCCATGCAACTTCATCAGTGGGTGAACCCAACGTAGCACAGCCAACATAGACTGGGATGGGGATGGCACTGCTATACATTGGGGGCATCTCTGAAACCATCAGTGGATTATTGCAGCCAAATGACATCACTATGGCACACAAGACAACTGAAGCCCTCCAAAATATCCTAGGTGAGTTGAAGGACCCAGCAGCCTCAGAGAGATCAGGAGTTATCTATGGCAAGCATTGTAAGCCACTGTGTGTGATAAACAAACAGAGGACATTCATGAACACCAAGCAATCAGAAGACATGATGAAAGGTGCTTAATTTCACAACACATGGGCAGACTTAACCATAGTTTCAACTGGGAAATTGTGAGCATCCTAGACCAAGCCAAGTCTAAAAACAATATAGAAACCTGCCACTCCCACAAATCAGCTATCAACAGGCGTATGGAGATAAACAACATCTGCATACCATTCAAAAAATACTAACAAGCTAACAGTAAACAACAGCCCAATCAGAAACCACTAAGACCACTCCCACCAACACTGACAAGGCAAACAACGAGTACATAAAATGAGAGCAAACCCCACTTACTAGCACTGATGATGTTACCTAATTTGGTAATGAAATGTCTGCAAGAAAACAACCACGTTTAGAGAGCACTAAGGATCCCTGTGTTATAGTATTAACTCATCTTTTAAGGGAAGGCTTAGGTAAGGGTTGCACACTGATTTTGCTTTTTATTCCTGTTAATAAAAGAAGAAAGAAAAAAAAGGTATGGCTGAATTCTGGCATTTTGCCTTCTAATTTTGAGAGCACTGCTATTTATGAGTCTAAGTGTGTGGGCAAATGTGGAGGAGGGCTGCAGCTCCATATGGCCTGCAGGTCACTGGTTACTCCTCCTTATGTTGCAACCTGATGAATCCAGTCCCTATAAAGGAAAGCAATCCCTTATAACATCCAACTCATACAGTACTTGCAGACATACAATT